CACCAAGAGAGTGAATTTTAACAGCAGGTTGGTTAAAATCCAGTCCCTTTAAGAACATAATGTACATTATTCCACAGGTCATCACTGGCCAGAACACAATTGTGACTGGACCTAAGTATGAGAGAGGGACAGAGACAGAGTGGGGAGAGGCTGCGTGTGGAACTTGGGAACACAGCGAGGCTTTGTCTGAGCCACTGGCAGCTCAGTCGGTGGTGTATTCTGTTGACCAAAGTCGGAGTCTGTGTGGCTTAAAATCTGCAAGATGAAGGTCCAAGTTTTGGAGGAGACAGACTTGCTCTGGAAGTGAAGATTGAAAGGCAAATGAAAAACCATTTCAGTTGGTTTCTCTCATATTTGATCAATTTATTATATGCCTTAACATAATGTAATGCTCTTATAGCTATAACTTTTTTTTTCACATTTCTATTCAAAAAGCGTCACCATGAACCTGAAAATCTTTGACCTTTTTTTTTTAATCTTCCTAATCAAAACCCAATTTTTATAACATAGTTTGACAAAATTTGTTAGGTAGACAATTGTCTAATTGTAGATGTGACTTCATGTACATTTAAGTTTTTAGGTGAAGTAATGGAGATGGCTTCATCTGATCAGTGTCTCCTCGGTAACATGATTCTGTAAATGAGTCTTCATTTCATACTGACTTAATAATCTCCATAACAAAGTAATCTCCATAACATACCTGCCAGCTCTTTTTTATACTTGAATCTATGAGCGCATATAAAAATAGCATAATGTTTCACTGCGAATGAGTATGGATTTATTTTTTTTAAAGTGATGAAAATGTTACAGAATTAAATAGTAATGCCTCAACAACCCTTAAATATGTTTAAAGATCTACATTTTACACTTTAAAATTTGGAGTTTTATGGTACATGTATAAATTATGTTTCAATAAGAACAATTACTATATTGGTTAAAAGTGGCAGGTGAATGACACATGCTTATTTTTTTCTACTCTTCCAAAAAAAACTAAAATTATAGTAGTAAAATATTTTTAAAAGGCAAAGAGTTAAAAATACTCCACAGGGGCAGTAGAGAATTTTATTTCTTTTTGTCTTCACCTGGAGACACTTTTTTCATTGCTTTTAGAAAGAGAAAGGGAGAGAGACTCATCGATGTGAGAGAAAAACATTGATCGGTTGTCTCCCGCATGTGCTTGGGATGCATGCAGCCAGACCGGGAGTCATCAGAGCCCCGGCTGGAGATCGAACCCACAACCTAGGTAGGTGCCCTGACTGGAAATTGAACCTGCAACTTTTTGGTTATGGGACAATGCTCCAAATAACTGAGCCACACTGGCCAGGGCAAGAATATTTAAAAGAAGCTTTAACACCCAAAGAAAAGGAAATTGACAGATGATGAACAGGACAGTAAGTGACTGGGCAGAGTGGAGGAGGTTACCGTATAAATCCTTGCAGAGATGATGCTGAAGAAAAGCATGTCAAAGTATGTCGAAATGCCTAGAGTGCCAGGTAGAGTGGGAAACAGGGCCACGGCCTGGGGAAGCTGCACATCCTGAATAGGTTCTTGGGTTCAGTGCACCAACTTGCTCTGATCACTGGAAGTCCGTTATGAAGAAATTCCCAGACAGAAACGATATCTGGGCTGATAGGCGGGGCTTGGAAAAGGGACACAGCCACATATTCGCGTGGGTCCCTTGTCTACCTTGATCACGAAATACCACTAGCAAGGTATTCAAACTCCCTTACCGTCCCTACCCATGCCACGCTGGAAGCGGATTGCTCTTCCCTGAAGAAAGAACAGCTCGGGGGAAATCTTCCCGCTACTCGGATGGTGAGGCCTGCCCATTACATCACCCAGCAGCAAGCTCTGTGCTCGGACTTGGACTATCCCGTCATGCCTTGTGGGCTTAACTGTTAAACAGCAAAGGACAAACAGTGTAAATCCTCCATAGGAAGCCAGTAGCCTGTAATAAATGAGTACATAGGTGGCCGCTTGTGTGGATTATTTAACAGTATGGAAGGAAGTATAGAAAAAAATAGCTAAAAATACTTAAACATGTCGCCTCTGGTGAGTGGGATTACGGAGTGGCATGAGGTGGCAAAGGGAGCTATTGTTTCTCAACATAAGGCCTTTTAATAATACAAGTATTAAAGTATTTGGATAAATACTAATTAAGTAAAATAGTATTTACAGAAACTGGTGTCTTAATTTGCTAGGGCTGCCATAACGTAGCACCGCAGGACCCCTGGGGAGCTTAAACGACAGCTTTATTGCCTCGCAGTCCCCCAGGCTAGAAGTCTGAGCTCCAGATGTCCCCAGCGTGCGCTCCTTCGGAGGGCTGGGCCGAGGGTCTGCTCGAGATCACTCATTGGCTTGTCAGTGCCATCTTTTTGCTGTGTCTTCACGCTGTCTCCCCTCTTTGAGGGTCTGTGTGTAGGAATTGCCCCTTTTTAATAAGGACAGCAGTGCTCCCCTTACCCCCCAAACTTCATTTTCACGTGATTACCTCAGAGGAGACCCCCATCTAAGTAAGGTCTGGGAGTTAGGTCCCCAAGTATGAATTCGGAGGGGACAGAGTTCAGCCCATAACATGTGGGAGTGGTCTGTTGCAGCCAACGTTTCTGTAGAGAAATTACCTGTAATGTTAGCGAGTTATTTACTTGGGGCCACGAGTCCACGTGGAGACCCAGGAGGTCTGGCCCTCTGGAACACAAAGCTGCCGTTCAAAGACGCGATAGCGACTCAGACGTGGCTTCCAAAGCTGCCTCTGGGACTGAGAACTCCACTGCAGGAAGGGCGAGCACCAGCATTTAAATGGGAGTGAAAGGAGATGGTATAGTGCATGTTCCGTGGGACCGCCACACTTTGGTTGCATGAATTGTATGTCACTCCGTGTATCATGGGACAGCTTCAGGGGTGCAGCCTAGGCTATGAATGCAGCCCAACACAAAATCGTAAATTTACTTAAAATATTATGTGTTCTTTTTGTGTGTGTGTGTTTTTTTTTTGTGTGCGTGTGTGACTATGTGTCACAATATGTTTAGTGTGTGGCCCAAGACAACGCTGCTTCTTCCAGTGTGGCCCAGAGATACCAAAAGGCCGGACACCCCTGAAGGTTGTATAAAGGCCTGAAAAGCAGAGGAGTCCTTGAGAGAAGATGAATCTTTATAATTTGCCCACTCTATCTTGCAAGTTTTAAATAACCCGAATTCGCCAGAGGGCAAGGGGGTGGGGGGAAGTAGAAGGGGGTCGAGGGGAAATAAATGGTGATGGAAGGAGACTTGACTGGGGGCAGTAAACACAGGGTACAATACACAGAGGATGTATTATAGAACTGCACACCTGAAACCTACATAATTTTATTAACCCATGTCACCCCGATCCGGCCAATTAAAAAATAAAATGGAATGAAATGCGAAGAAAGCCTGTCTTCCTCGCCAGTTGTTCTCTAAATAGGAAGTGTGTTCTTACAACTGTTTCTGCAAACTGCTTCAGGGCGAGAACCACAATAGCTAACATTGATGCCACGCTACGTGCCAGGCACAGTATGACGCCTTAGCTTAGTGACTCTGCCTGAGACCTCGGGAGCCGGGCTCTGAGCCACCTTGCTCCACCCCGCCCCGAGCCCTCGGGCACACCGGCGCAGCAGCACCGGCAAAGCGCTGGCCTCAGCCCGAGTGAAGCAGCCGGCAGGCATGTACAGCTCGTTCCTCAGATCAAGACGGTAACATTAGCTTCAAAGTTAGTTTACAATGAGATTTATACTGGATGTATTTAGTCTCATTGCATTGCCTCCTCAAGGTCCCGGAGGATGATTCTTTTTTGCATATACTGTGACAAGAGCCTAAAAGGAAACTTGATGACAATGTTGGCATTAATGTCTCACCATTGTGCAGGAAGCTGTGGGGATGAAAGAGGCAAGGCTGCTGTTAGTTGGAGTGGTTTCAGAAATATCCTTTCATCTTTCAAATCGTTCATGTGTCGTTCTATGTGTATACAGAGAAATTTAGCAGAAGTACTGGGTTGCAGGACCAGGAAATTTAACAGAGACATGTAGTTATGGGACTCAATGGTGTGACCCCCAAATTCTAGGAAAATGATAAGAAAATGCCATGTCTAACACTGGAGCCAACTTTATCATATTAATTGAATGTGGTTAATACTTTACAGAAATCACCTACTGTAAGAGATGGTTTTGAAAAGTTTTCACGAATTTGAATGTAAATGGTAGTTGTCATAGAATTGTCCCGATCTCATCTCCGTGGTAACTAGACTGAGGTATTCTTGTTACACTGGGTGAGGGCACACGTGTGAATGTTAGTCTGGGGCGTGTACATGTGTGCATGCATGTGTATGTAGGGCCTGTTAAGGAGGATGGGTATTTACTCTGCATAGAGTATGGAAAGAATCCCAAAGGGGAGATTCGTCAGTGTGACTTCCAACTCTGTTCTGCCTTGTGGGGTTGACTTGTGGCCTGTGTGGTGAGGCGTGGCGTGGAGGCCTGTGTGGTGAGGCGTGGCGTGGAGGCCTGTGTGATGACGCGTGGCTTGGCGGATGTGGGATGGTTGCTGTGGTGGGTGCCACATAGGCAGATGGTTTGTGGTTTGGTGGTGTGAGCTGGTGTGTGGTGTGGTTGGACCTGGCATGTGGTTTGATGTAGGGTGTGGAGCGCGCTTCGGGGAGGGGGTTGGCACGGGGCTTAATGATGTGGGATGGGAGAGGTGGGAGACTGAAATGCAGGAGAGTGTGGGTTTGCAGTGCAGACGCGGTTTGTGAGTGTGTGTGTTTGTGTGTAATGTGGTTGTAACTTAGCTTTTGTTTAGATTTTCTTTTGCCTTTTGTTTTGGTCTTTGTTTGGCCTTTGTTTTTGTCTTTGTTTCGGTCTTTGTTTAAACTTTCTTTGGCTTTTGTTTGGTCTTTCTTTAGCCTTTTGTTTAAACTTTGTGTGGCCTTTTTGTCATCTTTGTGTAGCTTTTGTTTTTAAGTGAATCTTGGCTGAGGACCCATCAAAAACACCTTGTGTAATGAAAAACTGGGATATATAATCTCTCCCTATATATTCCGCATGCATTGAGTAGCCTCAGCCTCCCCAGGGATCTGATACAGACGTGGAACCTGTTTCACACAACTGCTGCCTGACGGTAAGGGGATTCCGTTGGTTTGCATCTTGCTACATGTTGTAATTCATCTCCAAGTGGCAAGTGCACACTTGCGTGTGGGCCATTTCATTACATCCCAGGGGAGACCTGCTGTCATAGCAGCCAAGGTTGGGAGGACCTAAAAGGATGGAGAAAACAAGAACAGAGGACACCAACGTTATTCTGATGTAGGCGGAGGGCCCTCGTGGAATGTTCTGGCAAGTGTTTGGAAATTGTCTGAGCCCGGGAAAGGGCTCCGAACCCTAACACATATTCCAGTCAAAAGCCCCCTGTTCCTGGAGCTAGATCAATGGCACTATTGGCTGCTTCTTTTTCTCTCTCTTCATTTATTATTTATCACGATTTGAAAATGAATTTTTCTTATCTAGGAACAACGCCTCCCTTCATACAGCTGGGTGTATGTGTGGGGAATGCTAATGGAACAACAAAGCCCCAATCTTGAAATAATTTTGCTCCCTAGAAACCATAAGTAGAAAGACATTCATGCTTTGTCTTGAACAGACTCCCAGGAATTAGAGGTTTTTTTGTTTTTTTATTTGTATGCTTTCAGTTTTGCGATTGATAGAAAAAGGAAAGAAAAGATTAAGTGTCAGGGGAATCATGTCATGGATGTGGCTAACGTTCTAGGAAGAAAATGGGGGAAAGAATTTTGAATGCTTTGTGAATAAAGCAGGGAGGCAGAAAACAGACTGTTGCCAGATGAGCAGCTGTGCTACTTTATGTTTCTTTAGCAGCGCAGGAGAATAACTCGGCGAGTGGACTACAAAAATTATTTTATACTTACAGAAAAATTGCAAACAGTCAACAATTCCAGGTGTATCCAGATTACTCAGATTCTGACATATTACTAAATTTGGGTTATTATCTTTTCTCTCTCTGTATTCACATACACCTACTATTCTTTCTGAGCCATTTGAAATTAAATTATAGACATGATCAAAATCAGAAAATTAACATAAAGAAAATGCTATTCTCTAATCGACAGGCAACTAGCTTTCACCAGTTATCCCAGAAATCAACCCAGGATCACACATCCCCGTTAGCGGTAGTATCGCTTTAGTCTCCATTAATCTGGAAGTAGCTGAAATAGTCATTCTCTTTCACGTCTTGGCAGTTTTTGAAGTTAATTTGTCTTGACAGTTTTTGAAGAGTTATTTTGTTAAATGTCCCTCCATTTGGGTTTGGTCTAATGTTTTCTCATGATTAGGTCCAGAGTACGCAGTTTTAGAAGGAATATGCTTGCATTTTAGATCATACATATCCAAAGTCATAATTGAATCTGTACAAACTTTTAATTAATTCAAGTTCTTGTTTATCTAATGTAACTAGGATTTTAAATGAGTACCTAAAATCTTACAAGAAAAATACAAAACATTTAAATATATAGGGCTTTTTACTAATAATTCCCAAGTATTCACCGAAAGTGTGTAAGTGCTGCCTTTATTTATAAACCGTAATTGCAATGATATGTACATGAGCTTGATAGGTGTGTAGTGAGGTATTTAAGCTAGATTCTTTGTGTGTGTTGGATTCACATCTCCTACTCTATCAGTATTTATGCCACAAGTGTGATAATTTCTTTCTAAGCAAGACCATCTGCTGAAAACAGGTACAGTTCAATAAAACGCTGCCCTGAAAAGCCACTCCAGGTGTGACAACACACCTTTAGTATGTTGTCAAGGTGTCTGGTAGAAAGAACATTCATTTCGTTTGCTGGTAAGTGGGAAAACTTGTGTTTGGAGGTGGCAGGCAGTTTTTTGATTCTTAAAATGGATTCTTTACATATGCAAATATAAAGCATTTTTTTTCTTTCCCTCAGAGAAAATTCTGAAGTCATCATAAATCCAAATAAGGGGGGGTTGGTTAATTTGTTCTATGATCTTTGTAGTTAAATGAATGTATTATGACTTTAACAGGACTGTTTCCTGGATGAGATAAACACTTTCTGTCCTAACTATGAAATTAGATGAGAAGTTTGGGGTTCTGCACATGGCTATTCAATGTTGAGGAACTCAGCTTTTGGGAAAATGTAGCGTTAGCTGTCATAATTGTCTTACCTGGGCCACAGAAGTCACCCTGGAGATTGAGAAAGTGTTTTCTACTTGAAGGATTGAGTGTTCCTATGATGAGCCCTCCTGGGCCTCCTTCTTTCACTCAGTCGAAAGAATTGGGGATCAGGTGTGGCCGCCTTGGAAGGCCGAGAGTCCTGGGGATGGGAGCTGAGTTGCTTTCCACAGCCTGGACGTCTGCTAACCCTAGGCCATCGTCTGGACTCCATGAGGCACCTTTTGGATGGGCTGTGAAGGCCACTCTGCATTCCGATGCTTCTGTTGTGCATTAGGTAAAAACCTGGCATTAGCTGCGCTCCAGGTGGTTAAGGGACCAATGTATTTTAAATTGTGCCTGGGAGCTTGTTTTTATTTAGGCCCGTGAGGCCCGTGATCAGGTGACTGCCACTGGAAAGATAGTTTGCTAGTCAAAATTCCCAAGAGGAGAGGGTAGGCCAGACCAGGCAGGGCCTGAATGGGGAAGCCCTCGAGTTGGAGTCAGCCAGGAGCCCGAAGGAGCGAGGAAAGTGGGGGCAAGAGACTGTGGTACTTGTGCAGGGACAGGTGAGCCAGGCAGGGGAGGCAGGTTTAGGATGGGTGAGCTTAAATAAGTTCAGTGGGCGCGGGGGTATAGGGGCTGTCCTGAGTCACCTGGCACTTGACCCTGGGTGATTAGAATAGAGGGACATTGGATCAATCTATGAGAACTTGATAAAGAAGGTAGTTGCTGAGTTCAGGCTCTGGCTTGGTTGATTTGCATAGAAACGTACATTCACAGGCGAGTCCTTTGCTGTCTCTAGGAATTAATTAGCTTTGGGAGGGGCAGTCTCTCCAGGATCAGCAAGGCCCCTGATGCCAGAGCATCGGGAATATGGAAAACACAGTTAATCCGTAGTCTATGTCTGCATATGGAATGAATGGGCACAGGGAAAGGAAAGCAGCATTTAGCCTTTGGAACAATAGCATTTAAAAGTCAGAACCTCTGATACAGACAGGTGCATGGAATGTGTATCCATTTCTAATGGGAGTCCACAAATTCATTATAAAAACAGAGGAATGGATCTTCAGTGATCCACCGCAGTGGGTATATTCGTTTTATATTGCTGTGTAACAAATCACCACAAACTTAGTGTCTTGAAACCACACCTATTTATTCTCTCACAATTCTACATCAAGTCTGGAGGCTTGGTGCTCTGCTTAGAATCTCACAAGACCGAAATCAAGGTGTTGGCTGGCTTGGCTCTTGTCTGGAAGCTCTGGAGGAGATGCTGCCTCCGAGCTCATGCAGGGCGTTGGCGGAATTCATTTCCCCGTGGCGTTGGAATTCAGGCCCCTGGCCCTGTCGGCTTTCCAGCCAGCTGCGGGGGGTTGAGCTCTCTTCTTGTTTCTGTGCCTCTCTCCACGTTTCTCTGATTCCATCTGGAGAAAGTTCTTGGCTTTGAAGGGTTCATATGATTAGATCGGGCCCACCCAAATAATCCAGGATAATATCTGTATTTTAAGGTCTATAACTTAATTACATCTGCAAAGTTCCTTTTGCCATGTACATATTCATCGGTTTCAGCAATTAGGATTTGGGAATGGATTGGGGGGCGTTTTGCCTACCCCAGGGGGGTTATGAGTGATGTAAATGCTGAGCACTTGGGCAAGGTGGTATTTGCCAGGTATCAATTTCATTATGAAATTGCTGTTTTTCTTTTCTTTTTAATGAATAAATACCTATGGGGGGAATATTTTGAGACTGTGCAAATACCCTGTTTCTCCTTAAACTTTCACATGCTAATTTTCACATCCATCAGTGAATGTTCCTTGCAGAAATGATCACCGCATCATTTTCTAATACTGACTTTCTACTTCTGCCATTGCTGCCTCTTTTTTTAAGTGAATTATTCTTCAAGGAGGAGTGTCTCTCTCTCTCCCCCCATTTCTTTCTTTATTTGGTTATTTATTTATATGAGTTTGAATCCAAGGGCAGTTGTTTTATTCTTTGGTTTATAATCCAATACTATTGTTATTAAATGTCTTGCTCCAGTGGCTTTGACCCCTGAGAGCTCTTTCAGGTTGGCTCCACTACACTTTGGACATGTACTAGTCTGTTATGAGCACTCTCTTACTTTCTGTCATTACAGTTTGCTCCAAGATCAACTTCATTTTCCCTGCCTTAGCCTGAAATCAACCACTTTTTCAAGGAGCCATGGTTCCGCTTGTTGGACAATGGTATTTAGAAACCAAGATCTGAGTACGAGGTATAGTCTTTGCTTGTGGGGTGTCACTTCTTCTAAGTCCTCTATGTGGACAAAGCTAGAAAACGTATGTATGCATGCTAATGTATATAGACTCACATCTCTATTTATCTCTGTATCTCTAATCCAGTATGCCCCACGCTTCATTCTAGCATTCCTCTTTTCCTTATTTGTAACTTCATTCTCTGACAGGAAGAAAACTTTCTCATGATCTACAGTGTACTTATTTGCTCAATCCTAGTTTACACATAAAGTAGATTTAGAGCTTCTAATCTATACTCCTGTGAGAAACAAATATACCAGCAATTAGTTATTTTTGTCTTTCGCCTTATATCATCCACCTAAAACATGATTTTCCAAAGTTGCTCAGGTCCCCTCCTTTCTTTCCCATCCCTTCAGTGTGGTTATGTGGTTAACTTGTGATCAGATTCATTTGCCACTGTCTGAGGTCCATCCTGGGTTCCCTCTCATTCCCCATATGCAGACTGATTTTTTGTTTGATTTTTAAGAACTTTAAAAATTATTTGAAAAATGCTTCATCTTGTCACCCATTCTGTTCATCTTTCCTCCCCTCTCTTGAACTATATCACTAAGGGTCATCTCTAAGTCCGCTTCTATTGACCTTTTTTTTTTCCTCTTGATTTCAGTCTCCTTTTCCTATTTTTGTCTGATAATTTTTATTGCATGCTGAGCATTGTAGGTTATACAGTGTAGAAGTTCTGGGTTATATTAAATTATTGTTAAGACTTGGTTTTAGGTCTTGTTGGGAGACCTATTCCATCCTTGTCCTTGCTCTTAGGCATGGCCCCTACCATAGGGTGAGATTGTATTTGGTCTCACCTGAAAGCTTGGGGTGCTCGCCAAGGTCTCACAAGGTTTCCCCAGTAGTGAGTGAGATCTGACATCTCTTCTCAGGTATCAGCCTCTTAGCAACAATTTCCCCCTCCTTGGGCTTCCCACAGCCTTACCCTGAAATTACATCTTCTCAGTAGTTCCCTACATTACTCTTCCCTCCACCCCTTTCCAAATACCTGCAGTCTTAGCAACGCCTAACCCTTATCTCTGTTCCTTCCTGTCTCTGCTTGAACTCTTCTTTCTGTGTAGCAGTTTGAGAAATATCTTCAGGGAAAAAAACAGGATAAAAGTGAGGTTCATCTCTTCTACTTTTTTTCCCTCAAGGATCATAGCCTGGAAATATTTGCCATCTAATGTCTGCAAACAGTTACTTTATATATTTGTTCAGCTTTTGTAGTTGTTTCCAATGAGAGCATAAATTCAATACTTGCTACTACATTATGATTGATCAATTGTTTTTATTTATGTAAAAGTGCTTGCAGAATTAGAGGATTTCAACTATTCTGTCAAGCAGGTAGAAGGAGAGGTATATGCTCAGCTGCTCTGACAGAGAAATTTTATAGAGATTTATGAAGTTGACAACACAGAGTTGTCAATTATTACTAGAAAAACAAATGATCAATTAAGACAACCAGAGTTACAGGTTTCATTTGAAGGTAATGTTTTTGTGTCTAGAATCTTCATAATCTTATAATACCCTTTTGTTCAAACAACAGTTCCAAGATTTGATATATATGTATATATGAAAAAGAATGGGACAAATAGTTGTCAATAGTCCCATAAATTTTCATACTGCATGGGAAATCGAGATTGATATTTTAAAATAGCAAATGCTTTATCAAATTGCATTCCTTTATCAAGTTTATAATGCTGCAAACACATTTCTCTTCCAGAGCTCTAGGGGAGAAAGTCCTTCAACTCCTTCCTTCAGATGTTTTGCTTAATTGTGAAGATTTGTGTTTTTAGAGCCAGACTCTGAGATTTCATTTCTTTCAAACACTTTGTTTATTAGTGTTTTAAGCAAAAATCAGGTTTGTAGAGCTCAGATTTCCTAGGAGAAATGACTAAAGATTTTTTACTTAATGGCAGAGAATTAACTGGACATGGAGTGTTTTTTCTCTATAGTGATAAGATTGGCTTTCAAAAGCTTGCGTGTGATTTTGTGATTACTGTATATCTACCCTCTCTCCCCAAGGGACTGAGCATCTAGATCAATCTTCATGATCCTTCCTGGAGCTGTGAGAGTGAAGCTCTGTGTACAAAACACTTGAATGAACTATAGCCTAAGTAACCAAGTCATTAACCAGAACACATTCTGCTGCTTCACTTTCAGGAAGAAAAGAAGCAAATGATACCAAGACAAGCGCATAACAGAGATCTAATCACTAGATGTGTATGGATGAAAATACAGGTACGAATTAATCTCTTACACTCTTTTGGACCTGCATCTAGTTTATTGTATAATGATTACTAGTTCAGTAAGTTCAAGTAGAATGCAGAGTCAGCAAAAGTTTGAGCAATCGAACTATTAATAAGAGTTAAAGACTTTTTAAAAACTATGCCAGGTGTTTCATAGTATTCTGGGTTGTGGGAGTAGAAATTTTGGGGGGAAAAAACTCCACGTCTGTGCATCAGGCACTAGGAACTAAGCCACCATTTGTCAACCTTTGTCAAACCCGCTGTTATTGTACAATTTGCCTCATCCATCCATTGCCACACTGTGGAATTTGCCAGTACTTGAAACTACCTCATTTCTGATTCAAACAGTGCAAACCTCTAGGATCTCGTTCATGGCCCTCCTTTCTTCCCACTGGCTTTGTTAAGCACCCCATTACAACTGTTCTTCCACTAGGTACTTCCAGTTGACTTGTCCCTCCACATCCCCATTCATTTATGAATCCACTCACCTATCCATTTATCCTCGCCCTTTTCTACCTTCTATTTTCTTTCCATCACGGGTGGCTTCTAGGACCCATCATTTCAATTCCTCTCTTGCAAATGCTCTGGCGAACCCCAGCCCTGGATGAACTGGCCTGTCTTCTCCATGTCTGCACGCAGATTGCCGGGAACAGTTGGAGAGGAGCACAGTGGGGGAGATCGGTCCCCCTGCAGATTCACCGCCAGGGATCTCAACAAGGCTGGCAAAACTCATATTCTGCAAAGTCTCTCCTAAAGCACTCTATTCTCCAAAGGTCAACTCTCTCATTCTCAACTGATACCCTTATCTCCCCCTTCACTGGAAATATGAAAGCTATTACCTGGGAACTTCCTACAGCCACCTGTTTTCCCTCTTCCAGCAAAGGCCAACCCTTCACCATGTGCTCTACATTCCAGCTCCTTGGGTTTTCTTCAAGAACATTAATTATTTCCCCTTCTGACTTTATTTCATCCTTTTCCTCTCTGCTAGACCTTTTCCATGAGCACTTATGCATGTTACCCTCATTAAAAAAAAACCCAACAAAATAAATCAAGAAATGGACCAGTCGCCTCTCTACCACCCTCAAAAACAATGACAACAACTTGGAAACCACATACTTTTCTAGCTGCCATGACTCTCCTCCCCTTCATCCTCGAACCTGTGGCCTGAGTTGACTGCAGTGTCTCCAAATCCTCAACCCCTCTCCCCTCCACAAACCTTCCAATCTTAATTTCCGTTTTAAACATTCCTGGAAACAATTGTTGTTAAAGTCACCAATTCTTGTCATGTCATTTAATCTACCATACTCTTTATCTCCCCCTAACGCATGACCTCCGAGAATCGTTCTGCAAAGGCGACCACTCCCTCTTTTGAAACACTCCTTCCCTTTGGCTCCCATGTTCCATGTGTCCCAGTTTCCCTCCTTTCTCTCCAACTCTCCTCTTTATCCTTTGGCCATTGCGCCTCCTCCACCTACCCTGTAAATGCGGGAGGACACAGCCATGCCCTCTCCTCATCCTACACTCCCATCAAGGCAGTTCCGTCCATCTGTGCGGCTTCTATTGCCACCTATACTCCAAGACTTTCGAATCCTATCTCCCGCCCAGGCTTCTCCCCTGAACCTTCACTCAACATCCCCACCTAGCTGCCCCTCTAACTCCTTGACTCGAGCGCATCTAAAACCGAATTCATGGTCGTGCTTCATCCCCGGAGGCTTCTCCTGCAGCAGGTGCTTCCCCCACCCACCCGGATGCTCCAACTACACACCTTGGAGTCGCCATTAAGTCCTCCTCTTGTTTTTTTGAACAGGTGGATAATTTCAATAGAATATGGTAAATATCAAGATGGAGGCATATAAATTACAAAATGGAGCAAAGATAAGTGGCATTTCATTCAGCTGAGGAAGACTACAAGTGTAACTGCCATCGGGTGGCTCAGATGGTGGCCTTGGGCACAAAATTCATTAAAAGAGACGGTCGACAACCCAGTGCTTATTTTACCCTGCCCTGGCCTGTTCTCTTTGTCTTCCCAAGATGCCCTTGGAGACCCAAGGCAGCGTAGCAGCTCTCACCTTCTCCTGGCTGTTGTAGAGCGATAACCCAGCCCGTCAGCTCAGCTAGGTTCCCTCCCTTACCCCCTGCTAAGGCCTCAGGCCAGATGAACACTTAGAGTTTTCTATAAGCAAATGCAAATCTGGAAGATTTGTTGCCATTTTCTTTATCCAGGAAACATTATGGGAGAACATTTGTTTTACTTTCATGTGTGTACATTCAAAATCCCATCGTTTTTATAGAAAAGGAGAAACACAATTCTTACTTTTTCAAATCACAAACAGATTAAGAAAAGCACATAAGTATAAAACTAAGTACCCCTTGAACATATAATGTTTTCTACGGAGAGACCACTTTATGTTAAAACTGTAGTTCTTAAAATAGCCGTGCTGGGAATCTGACATCAGCCACCCTGGTCCTACATAACCGCCCAGGAAGCAGAAGCACCTGGGGATTTTGAAGACACTCAGTTCATGGTGGAGGGCAGAGCAGGACCCCAGGGACTCAGACAGAAGCCCTTCTCGCCCAGAGTTTAGGCTGGGAGCACAGACATACAGCCACACACGGTGCGGCACGTCCACTGATAGAAATACGTAAAAATTAGAGAGACGGTCCCAAGGTGGGGTGCCTCCTTTAATGAGATGAGAACCTTAGCTGGGTGTTTAGGAGGAACAGAAGTCCACCACACAAACAGGATGGGGAAAAGGCATTCCGGGGAAGGGAGCAGTGTTTTCAGAGGCGCGCATTTTGATCACATATAGAATGTGTCTGACATATAGCAGTGAGGGGCGGTGGTAGGAGAGAAAGGGGCAGTGGACAGACACCAGGAGCCCTGTGTGCCATGTTAACTAAGAAGCAAGGCCTTCGCTCCGTAGCTGTGGAGAGCCTCTGAAATTTCTGACTAGGGGAAACGATAAACAAGGAGAAAGACTCATGCCTTTGGTTCCTTTTCCTGGACCCATTTGCCCCATCGGTAGAAAATTATGGATTTATTTATTCACATACGATTCAAGTGTAAACTCACATGTCCATTAGGTAAAACAATGTATTGTATAAATTTAGATGGGACAGAAAACAATGTCATGTTATTAAAATTGCATTCAGAAAATTCCTTTACTTCTTACATGTTTGTCTGGCTTCACTATACTAAGCAAAGCTTTTACTCCTAAAATATTTGCTAAATATATTGTCTGTGCGCTAAGGATACCAACATGGGGTCACACTTGTTCCCCTCCTAGAATAGCCAGGGTCAGGCAGTGTTTGTTCAATCAGAAAGGGCTTCATACAAGTCTGTGAGATAGTTGTCTGTGGGCAGTGTGGTCTTTGGACCGCATTAACCTATCCTTGTTGCCAGAGAAAAGAAAGCAATGAAAGCTTTGTTTTGTCTCCCAAGTGGGTGGTTAACTCCAAGATAGTCAGCGTCCCGTGATGCTGTATATTTTCACAGCCTCCGCAGGTCCTCGGATCTGTATTGAGTTTTGGCAAGATGCTGCTCTCTGGGGAAAAGCACTCTGATTCAAAGTAAACATCTGTATGACATTTTCCTTACCCGAAACTGGCTTCCCCAAAGAATCTTCGTTCACTGTACGAATCTGTAAACACGTTGGTTGCCAGGGACACCCGCGGATAAACAAGGATAAACAGATAAAGCTATACTCCCAGACAGCATGTGGTAGTTACAAAGTTTACTTTCCACATGTATTTTTGCTGCCGTGGACTCTTCACCACGCCAGCCTGCCACCATCTTCTAAATCTGCAACCCAGACGAAAGCGTTAGCTCCCAGCCTCAGAGAGAATTAGCAAGGTGTTAGAAGCCTTTCAAGGTCTCTGAGGGAAGTGGTGAACGTGGAATGAATTTACTCTGCAGTGATAATGTTTTTCATAGCAGAGGAGTTGGGGTTGAGCAGCCTTAAGAAGGATGTGGTCGGTGAAATAAACCTGGGTCTGAAGTAGAACCTTTGAACCCCCAACTTTGATTTCAGAAACAGCTTTTGGACAAAACTCCTGTGTGCACTCCTCACTTGCAGGAAGCCATGGGCAACCTTCCGACAGCCCAGGGCTCACAGCCTCAGATGGTTCCTTGAGCCCAGCTCCAGCCCAGTCCTGGTTTGCTGAGCTCCTGCGCCCCTCCCCGGCGCTCTGATTGGCAGGTTTTTCCTGATCTTTGCTAACCTCCCCCATACCTGCCTTATTGGGCCAGTTTGGAATGGGCATACTTTGCTGCTATTTCTCTTTCCTTTAATCTTACAGAGCTAAGTATGTGGGTATATGGTCACTGGCTTTCAAAGATTCATTCTTACATTTGCTATTAGAAACCACATAGTGTCTTTCTAACACAATGTTAGAAACACAGACTAGTCTGCCTTGATGGAAATCTTGGGGCCCCCTCTTAGTAGCTCTATGTCCTCAACTTTCTTATTTGCAAAATGGGGCTATTGTGAGGTTGTGAGGACTAAATGAGTTAAATTTATAAAGCCCTTGAATCGTGCCTGGATATATATATGCTGTTATTATTCTTGTTGGAGACCTTGGTCTATTTTCATTTTGTCTCTCTTTTGAGCAGTTCATCCATTTTCCATTAAAAAAAAATGCCCCTTCTGTTATAAATCATGAAAATAAACACATTTGAGTTTGTTTCTGAGTTCCCTATTCTGTCTCATTGATCTATTGGTTCATTTCCAAGCCAATATTCTACTGTTTTAATTAATATAGTTTACGATGAATGAGTATGTGTACCTGGTGGGACAAGACCTTACTCCTCCTCAAAATTGCCTTGGTTCATCTTGGTCTTTTATACTATCAATTACCTAAAAATATTTATCATATTTTATATCCTATTCCAGTTGTGAGTACATGACAGTTTATTCTTGTATTATTATTTATTGATTATTGTATTATCTTAATATGAACAACTGTGAACCTACGTTTGCTCTTCCCCGAAAG